CCTAATCCTAACCCAATCCATTTTTTGGTGCGAAGTGGCTTTCAAGAATAAAAAACGTTTTAGTGCAAGATAAAAATAGCGTCCCATTATTTACACGGAAGTATTAGATTCGTGTGATAAAAATTAGTACAATTCCATTAAAAAAAATTCTTAATTAAAGATAATGGTGACATAAAATGTTTTTATATGTAGGTTTGCTATTATTTATATATATTTATCATTTTATTATTCATAAATTTTCGGATAATTATTTAAAAGACGCTCCTCATCTTTAATTTTAATAAAATTATACTCATTTTTGCATAAAACGATAGAATTTGGCAGTAAAATGTCATGCGTAGTCTCGCTGAGAATATGAGATATTAAGCGTTAGAGTGAAATGCATCATAGAAGCAATCAATCAGCGTACTCTGCGATATTATTTCGAATAGCGCTAATTGGTTATTTGAATGACGCATTCTCTATTTCGCAGCCTTTTTCCGCACCGTGTGATTTCATTCTTAAAGTTGACATGTGGTTAGAAAATTTGTCACCGACTTAATGCTGCGCAGAGAGTGTACACGTATTTTAGTCTGTATTTATTTAGAATTGTTACTTCACCTTCGATTTTAATAAAATTAGGCTTATTCGATGCATTTTTATTCATAATGAAAGCCTACTCTTGCTATGTGCGAAAAGTTGTAAACCCCTAAACAATGAAAGAGAAATGATTTGAATATTTTAAGGGGAGTATATACAGATTCTTACATGACGTATAAAACATAAGAAAATCAACTAATCAGTGTATGTACATACATACAGGGTTGATAAAAAACGTGTTTAAAAAAGACAGTTTAAAACATGTTTTTAATGTTTTATATGTTTTAAAAAGCTTTAGAAAAAAATGTTTTAAACAAAAAAAAACACGTTTTAAACATATATTTATATTTTATTATAACGTATTTTACTTTCAAGTATTTTGAAACGTTTTTGAGGTACATTTTAGCATTTATACGAGGGGTGTTCAAAAAGTAAGTTTCCCTGCTCCGGGCAAAACACAATTTTTAGGTTAAAGTAACATATGTATTTATTGTTTGACTTATAAACTATTTTTCTACATAGTCCCCTTGGACTTGAATACATTTTTTATATCTGTTTTGAAGCTTTGACAAACCTTGTTTATAAAAATCCGTGCCCTGTTTTTTAAAGAATAATTTAACAAAGTCTTTCACTTCATCATTTGAATTGAAGTGATGGCCACCCAAACTTTCCTTTAACTTAGGAAAAAGAAAAAAGTCACTTGGTGCGAGATCTGGAGAGTAGGGTGGGTGATCAAAAATTTCCCATTTGAATTTTTCCAGTAAGGTTT